GAGGATCCATCCTTGCCTGAGAGGAGAGTAGAACATCAGGGTGATCCTGTGGAAGCTCCAGCCAGGAGCACTGCAGGCACGCTGATGTGCAGGCAAATGTAGTGGCAGGAAGATGGAGGTCTGAGGAGGGGAGAAAGAGCATCTAGTCCCACCTTGTGCTGTCTGACCCTTGGACCCAAGAGCATGGAGCAAGCTCTGCAGCTCCACAAGGTTTCAAGCCCTGGAGTGCAGTGCTGTACTCTTGAGGGGATGTGCGTGGGGGAGAGTTGATTTACAGAATCCTTCTGGAAAACTGAGTGTGCAGGACCTCCCATTCTCTCCCTTCCCTTGGCACCTCTGAAATGCAGCCTCCCTAATGCTGCAGCTTCCTTTGTCATTATACAGCCTAATGTGGGAACACAGGTGAGATGTGTGTGTGGTATCAGAAGGGAACAACTCAGGCTGGTGCTCTGAGGAGCTTGTTGGCGTGACTGAGAACTCCCACATTCCTGTAACTCATCTCAAATGTTCCTAGGATTAGCTAGTTTAGTCTAATTTTGGACAGACACCCTCTTCTAAAGCTCTCCTTGCTGCTCGATGACGTAGCTTCCTGTGCCCACTGCTCACCCTACAAAGAGCTGGAGGCAACCCCTCCTGGCTGTGCTGGGACCTCTCCTGGGGATGGAGGACCATGCTCTGGTGCTTGTCTCATACCCAGAGAAGCTCTTGCCAATGGAGAAAGAGCTGTCCTGGGAGAGGAAAAAGGAACATGGCAGCGGGAGGGGAGCAATTTTGACATTACGAATAACCCTTCTCATCCAAAGCCCTGGAGACCTTTTCAGAAGTCTGAAATGTTGCTAAACAAGGATGCGCTGAGGCTGCTGGCGGGGAATCGCTGCAGGAGGATGGCTGTTGCTGCTGGGCTGTGTTGCAGTGCTTCTCTCTGCCCCAGCAACAAGTCCTCTTTTGGCAATGGCCACACAGATGCTGCCCCATCATGGGGCTCCCAGGGCTGATCAAACACCAAGATGCTGTCAGGGATTTCATAAAGGCTTCTTTTTGCTGAACTTGCTAATTAATTCTTGTTTGAGTAAGGAAGAAACTGGCTTTATCTGACAGTCACCCCTCTCAACTGCCTCGTGCTCCAGAGGTGCTGCAACCCGCTGTAGCTGGAGGTATATTGATATTTGCTATGTGATACCACTGCACGCTCTGCTCTGTGGCAAAACACGGCATAACCATGGGAACCCTTATCCTCACCCTCATTAGCATGACCTACCAGCCCAGGCAAGTCGCCCTGCAGCCCTCCCCATGATTAAACTGGGTGTAATGAGCCCTGTAAATCTTGGGTGTCCCAGAAGCTCCTTCCACTCTTCCTGGTGCGGGGATGTGGAATGGACATGTAATCGGGAGGCTCCCAGGGCTCACACTGCAAGGAAAAACAGCCTAGACTGTTGGCTGATTTTGCTGTGTTGGGGCTATCAGCAGACAGGGAACAAGGCTGTGTCCTGGCTCACATGTCTTTGCTCCAAATGACCATGCTGGGACATGCAGGGCTCTGTGCCATGGTGGTGCAGCCACCACGTGAGGCTGAGGCAGTGCTGGTGGCACTGCTGTTACCTGCCCTTGTCTGTTGAAGCCCAGGGGCAGAGCTGGAGCTGGGACTCTCGCCATGCTCCCACCAACGGCACTTTGCTCCATGCAGGATCCATGGGGCTCGCTCCACGTGGCCGTTGGCTGGGCTGTGCCTGGCAGGCTTGGCAAGGGCTGCGGGTGGTTAGCGAGCACTGGGGTGTGCCTGGCACAGCCCTTGCCCGAGGGCACCTGGTTTCACCCACCCAGGAGGCACCTCCAGACCCAGCTCCCACCTCCTGCAGCCCCAGGTGGGAGCTCCAGCCCCAGTGCTGGCACCCTGAGTGCAGCTCCTTTTCACATCAGGGGGCTTTGGGTTTTCATAGCAGGGGGCTGCCCGCCAAGCTGGACTGCAGGAGGCAGCGAGGACTGGGGTCACTGGGCTGAACCTCACCAAGCTGGGTGTCTTGGTGGAACAGGCAGCTGCCCCAGCAAGAACCTTTGTAAGCATGTCCATCTGCATCCTAAATCTGTGCCTTGCTCCCTTCATCTGAAGGGGAATTCCTTTCCACAGTCTGCTCTCAGAAGCAGAAACTGTGTAATTTCCAGTCTAGATGTGTTTGTGGCCAGCTTATTTCCTTTCCTTCTTGTGCTGGCCTTGGCTTGACTTAAACAACAGAGCTCCTTCCCTCCGAGTTTCTGTGAAGCCAGGAAACACTCCCAGGCTCGGTTGAGCTCCCAGCCAAGCCCCTCAAGGCACATCTGCAGCACTAGGGTTAACTCTGCCAGAGCTGTGGTGCTTCTTCTGTAGTGCTGGTGCATCGTGCCCCACGGCACAGCACAGAAGTGCCATCGGCTGGTTGGGAACAGCCACCTTGTCATTAACCTTGTCATTAACCTCCTTCACCCCAGCCCTTCAGTTTGGGGTGAGCAAAAGAGCCTGCAGCTGAGGCTCAGAATCCTTGTGAGGAGCCTGGGAGACCTCTCACTTTAACCCAGAGAAGTGACGGGAGGAGAAATGAGGTTTAGAGGCTAATTCTGGCAGCATCAGGCACAAGAAAGATCAAAAACTCAGGGCAGGAGTACAAGAGAGGAGGGAAGCTGTTGCATGCCTGCCTCTGGAACCCCCTGACAGTCCCGGTTCATGCACACTGCACGTTATTCTGTACCTACTTAAATTAAAACCAGCCTTGTCTTGCGGATGCTGGCTGGAGCCAGGCAGTTCTCCTCCCCAGGGGAGAATCCAATTTTCACTCAATCTAACTTGTGTTTTTGACCTAGAATGACTCTTCTTTTTGTATTTAACCAACCCTCTCTCCAAGCCTTGTACTGTGCTGCACTTCTTGCAGCAGCGCCTGCAGCACCATGGCACATACGGGCTCCAAGGCAGGGAACCAGAAGTGGGCAGAGCACGGACCTGTGCTGATGGCAGCTCCCCTGAGGTCCAGCTCTTCCCACCCATTTTCTGGTAGATCCCAGCTGGCACTCCATGGGGATAAGCTGTTCCAGGCTCTGTCCATCTCCCATTGGGGTGGGTCAGACCTGGCTTGCAGACCCCCAAACGCCTGGAGGGGCATCTGGGGCTGTGTCTGTCACGTCTGTAGTATTAGTTAGCTCCAATTTTAGAGATGCTGTGTGCCTGTCTGATTTGCAGCTCAAGGCACAACAGTTGCCTCCCAAAGGTGCTTTCCTTCCTGCAGCACAGGTCTTGGTGCAGGACACATCCTTGCTCCTGAGCCTTTCTTATGGATCAGCCTGCTGGTTCTATAAATAACATCTATCAAGAGGCTCAGGAGACACAGTGAGGTCCAGGCTGGGAGGATTCTAAATGGGTTTGAAGTATTTATTCATTTCCTGCACTTCTTAAAAACCGCTCCTAGCTCTTTAGAGTGTGTTAACTGGTGTGACTCGTGATCCTCAGCCACTCATACAGCAGACAGAAGCAATGTTTTGCTTCTAATTCACTAAGCTTGGTGTGTCTGTGCTATTCTGGGTGTCTCCCCAGCAAGAGGAGAAGCTTCTCCAGGGTGATATCATTCACTGAGGGCAAAGCCAGCCTGTTTTGAGCCACCTCACCCAGCACAGCAGTTAGTCACCACTCAGCAGACATGACGTACGGCGCCAGCCCTGCCCGCAGCACGATGGACCCAGCACAATGTGTCTCTGCCTCAATGCTGTGACTCCACAGTTAATCAACCTGAGACAGGCGAGTAAATAACTCATTCAAGGCTGATGCAGGAAAGGACAAATACTTTGATAAGTGTAGTCCACTGTTTATATGTATTACAGACCAGATCCACACAGGGTATGGAGGAGGGAGCCCTGAGCTGTAGGATTAACTCCTGTCAGGGAGCCTTTGGCTCTGACTTTCTGGTCCATGCTGGTGCTGTCCTCCCTGAGGACTGGAGAGGATGGGCACAATGCCATGCATGTGGTGTACTGTGGGCATGGGAAATGTACTTGGCTTTGATGTTCCCAAGCACCAAGATGTTGGGGTTTGGCTGCCCTGGTGCCTACAGAGGCGGGCAGGTTTATTTTCCTCATCCTGAGACAGATGAGTGAGGTTCCCTCAGCGCAGTGGGTGGCACTGAGACTTGCTGACAGTGTAGACAACCAGGAGGAAGAGCAGCAGCCATTGGGGACCCCACTTGTTTGCAGATACAGTTGAATGACTCCACTCACCTCCAAACAGTGTCTGAGAACCTCCCAGAGGAACCCACCTCCTAGTATGGGTCTTTTTAAATGGAGAGTTACTAAATACTTTCTATCTAAAGCAAAGCCAGAGAGTATTCAGAATTTAATAGCAATCAGATTCCTAGATAAAGCAGCCACATCCATAGGCTTCCAGAGCTCAGCTCACATTTGTACCAGCAAAATAAACCCTCTGGTTAAGTGTACACCCACTTGCAGAACATTGCTCTGGCAGCAGCTCCATCCCTCTGGCACGTGGCGGGTCTGCCCTGCGTGGCACCAGGCTCGCTGTCTGCCACAGCCTCTCCAGGTGGCTTCCCAGGGTCCCACACTGAAGCTGTTGGAGTCGTCCTTCTCTTCATTCTTACCCAGGACAATAAGCACTGTGCAAATGAAGCGGAATGCAGCTTTTAGGCCTGAAAAGCTGTTGCAAATTAATCCTCCTTGCACTTGCCCAGATGCACTGTGACGGTGGGAGCAGAGGCTGGAAGGGGGGTGGAAAAGCAATACGGGATGACTTGTTTGCTTATGAGCTGAATTCCAGCTTTGCGCTCCAAATCCCCATTTTTATAGAGTTTTCCGCTGCAGTCTGCTCCTGCCCGGGGCATGCCTGTGTAACCACTACTCTCCCTGCATTCCTCAGATTCTTCTTCTTCTTGAGACTGGAGTGAAGGGGTCCAAAGTCCCTGGTGAGAAAAGGAAGAGAGGAGGAGGAGATTTCCCTTGGACTCTAAGCTGTCAAACCAGAAAGCCAAAGCATGTCCCAGGTCATACAAAACCACGTGTTGCGTGTTGGACAGACTGTGTGTGTTTCCTCACAGGAGGAAAGCAAGAGCTTGCACCCAGCAGGGTACCCAGGCTGCTCTGTGCTGCCCATGCAGTGCACCTACTACTCCACAGAGGGCTGGGCTGACCTGCCAGCCCTGGTGCACACCAGCACACGCCTGCTGCCCTGTGGGGAACTCTGTGGAGGCCACCCTGTGTTTGAGCACGTGGCTCCAAAGGATATCCCTTTGGAGAGATCCACTGCCCGGTATCAGCCAAAGGAGAACACCAGTGTGGATCCTGAGGCTCACCTGGGGTCTCCTACCTTGGATATAGAGAGCCTCAACAAGATGATCCTAGAAATCGATCCGACCTTTCAGCCGCTCACATGCAAGCCGGTGAAGGATGCAGTCCAACCTGCTCCTCAGGGTGACACTGCTGCCACCAAGAAACAGGATCCAGAGGCAACAGGTGAGACAAAAGACACCAGGCATGTGGTGGAGCTGGCGCAGCTCAGACCTAGTGAAAACCATCTGCAGGGAGAAGCCTTTTATTCAACCTATTTGTTCCTCTGTGCTTGGGGAATCCTTTCTCATTAGAAATGGGACTTGTAGCTTGTGGGGTAAAACTCCTAATCCATGTTATTACCATCAGTGACAGGGACAGGCACTGACCCTGGATGTGATGTGTGGATGTGCTAACCCTTGCAGCAGAGCCTTCCCCAGGGTCATACTTGACCTGCGGAAGCACAAGGATTTGAAGCCAGACTTCCAAAGCCCTGGGCTAAGGTACTGGTCATTGCACAACCAGCCCATCTAAATGTTCCAAATCATTTTGCCAGGGAAGTTCTTTTTCCAGGGCTTGTGCACTCCTCCAGCAGCATACCTGGCATACACAATCAGAACATCAGCAGCACATACCAACCCCGTCTTCCTGTTCTCATGCCTGGGTGCCTTACGTGAACCCTTGTGCAACACTCCTCTGTCATCCCAGCAATCCAGATCTCTGCTCTGTGTATTGCTGCTGATCCCAGCACTCTTGCCTGTGGCTCTTGTGCAGTGTGTGAGCTGCTCAACACCCTTGCACAGGGTAACACCAGCAGACAGCGTGTTGCACGCTGCTGCAAGCATTGTGGTGAGCCACAGGACAGATCTGTGATGTGTTTGGGTGCCTAAAGATACATTCTTGGTGCTTCTGAAAAACCTTTTTATCTGTCTGTGTCTTTAGACACGGAAATACCCTGAAAATCTGTCCCCAGGCCTATTGCTAGGGGAAGGGCAAGTGAGAGGATGTTAAAGGCATTGCCATGGGGCTTAGGTGATTGTGGAACAGAGGCGTTCCTGCTCCACACTGGGATGGAAGGGGATGGTCTTGCAGATAAAGTACCATGGCAAAGGGCAAGTTCAGCTTTTGGCTTCTCAGACTGGCTGCAGAGGCGTTCAGGTGCCCCCTCAGGCATCATTTAAGGGCTGGAGTCTCCAGCAGCCTGGCAGGTAGCGTGCTAGTGGTTTAGAGAATCTGGTTCCCAGTGTGGAACTGAACATCTGGGAATCTGGCTCCAAATTCAGTGGGAAAAGCCTCACTTCAGCTTTCATTTTCTTCTAACAGCTCTTTTTTTTAACACAAACTTCCAACTGCTGCACATCTCATGTCATCCACCTCCTCCCGCCCAGCCCTGCTCCATCTTGCACCAGCCAGCCCCATGGAAGGGCTCCCGTTGGGTTCCTACCTCCCTTTCCTCCCCTTGGCCATGCAGGGGAGGCCCCACAACATCACTGAATCATTTCCACACTCTCCTTTCTGTCAGGTTCATTCTTCCCTGCAAGCACAGTCACTTGATGTGGTGGCTGGCAGGAGACTGACAGTGCCCAGAACCCCTGAGAGGGGCTTGTTCTTGTCTAGTGGAAACCATGAGGAGGGTTTTAACATCACGTCTGCTGGAGACACATTGATAAGAGTCACCAGTTCCCTCTGGTACTTGCTTGTTCCTGGAGAAGGGGAAGGTGTCCTAGCTCGCGTGACAGCTCTGCTCCATGCTGGTGACACTCCTGCCACTCCTTGCTGCTGAAAACCTTGCCAAGGTCTTGAGCAAACATTTCAGGTTTAACCACACATGATAAGCAGGAGTGAAGGCAGGAAAGTAGCAGGCAAAAGGCTTTGGCAGCACACAGCTGCTTTTCAGTTATTTCTTTAAAGCACAATTAAAATCCCCACTACTTTTCCCCCTTTTGAGGGAGACACTGCCAAAAAGCATCCAAAAGAGCTTGTTGTAAGGGTTTGACACTAACACCAGAACCACGGGGCTCTGGAGGAGCTGTTGATGCCTGCCCGTGGCAGCAGGAGGCTGCGGTTCCAGCTCCTTTCCTGTGTGTGGTCCAGCCACATTCCTACTGGGACAAGCCTGACCCAGTGCCTCCTTGCCAGCTCTCCTCTGGGGCTGTGCCAATCGGATCCCATGCTGGGATCAGCACAGAGAAGGTGCTCAGGGAGTAACTTGTACAGACTTGTGCTTTTCCTGCTCATCAAGCTTATGCCCTAGAGGTCTGGCTGTTCCTTGCAGTAAACTGGGTCTGCAGCACTTGGCAGTCTGGGGGCAGCTGCTCTGCCCTGGCCAGCAGGTCCCAGCACAGGAACCAGACACATAAACCACGAACTGCCAGAGAGCTCAGGGTTGTCAAGAGCAGTTTTTCATTGCTGCAGCAAAAAGGTTTTTCTCTCTTAAAGAAACACCTTCAAGAAGGGGAACTTGCCTGAACTCCATGGCAGGGCAAGAACTAGGAGCTGAGAACAGAGCTGGGCATGTTCAGACTGGAAAGGAGGAGCACACTTGAAGCAATGGAGGTGATTAACCACTGCAATAGCCTCCCTGGGGAGGTGATGAATTCACCACCACTGCAAGCACTCAAATCAAGTCAGAGTGTCTCTTGCTAAAAAGCATCTTCTAGCTCAGACAGAAATGATGGCTTGTTCAAGGAACATAGAGACTGACATGCACCATGGGGAGCCAGCATTCCCTTGTCCTGTCCCTGAGATTGCACTGAAGATCTTGGAGCAAATGATGCTCTGCTAGATATGGATAATGGCAAGCAAAGAAGTGGTAGGAGATGAGGAGATGCCTTGCCAGCCCTGTGCAGGAATGGAAGATCAGGAGGAAACCCACAGCAGGGCACAGACACAGAAACTGCATTGGAAATTACTTCTCTTGTGCAGGATGGGAGAAGGGAAGGGAGAGTAGCTGGCCCCTGCCCTGGGCTGTGTGCTTGCTGGTCCCACAGCTGGCGCCCGCAGCCTTGTGGTTTCCCTCTGACTGGGTGTGGGTGTCCCTGGGGGCCAGGAGCCACCCCCCTGTGCTTGGAGGGTGTGCAGGGCCACGTGCTTGCAGCTGTGGGCACCCTCCAGCCTGGTGACATCCCTGGGGGAGCAACCACATATTTTTCTCTTGAGTCAGGTACAAGCAGAGCTGCTGCTGGAGGAAACGCACGCCTCTCGCTGCAGGT